CCAAAAGAACAGTACATTTTTTGGGAAGTGACAAGATAAAGGAAAAGGACTCTGAGCTTCTAGGGGTGAGAAGGCAAATGTGTGGGGAAACCAGGGGTAGCTCATGGCTAGTTTAGCAGGGTCTGTTATGTGGGTTCCTCTGGGTTGATTAGGGTCTTGAGTTGTCTCCAGTGATTAAGTTCTGTCCTTCCTGGTAGAGAGGGGAGGGGAGACATCTTTACAAATTTATGCCCTACTTTTAGGCAAATAGAAGGAGGGCAGGGAGGTCTTCTTGTATCTGCTTTATTCTCAGTTGCCTTCTGCTCAAAATAGTCCTTGTGCCCAAGTGTCATATTTTGGGGCGGCGGACTCTTACTAGCCTTCACATGTCAGGGGCCTGTCGTAGGGCCTGGCACTTAGGAAGGACGCAGTGCCTGGTAGTTGTTGCTGCTGTTACTGTTATTGTCATAGAAAATTAGGAACGGTCATGGTTGACAAACCCCGTTAATCTCATTTGTTACAATCTGTGGATTTTCTTTTCATAATTCTAAGACTCAAACTGGCAAGGAGAGTTTATGGTTACCTGATCTGATGAGCTGAAGTCAGAAAAGGTTGCTGGGAAAAGAACCGTGAGTACTATTATAAATAGCAAGGCACCAGTGCCGGATAAACAGGTCTTTCCAGTTGGTTTTGTTGATGAGCTGCTACATTTTCCCTGCTGGTTATTTTGTCTTGAAGGTGGAGCAGGTGCTGTTTCAGGCTAACCCCTCTGCGAGCCCATCACCACCCTTTCCTGCTCCGACTCGGCCCGTCAGTCCTTCTCACGCCCATACATTCCATCTTCTGCAGGTGTCTCTTACCTGGAAGTTTGGGTACTTGTTAGGCTTCCTAATAAAAACCTATGAACAAAGACAATGATTGAGTCACCTCAGTAGTCTGGCTCGATAGTCTGGTTGTTATCAACTTTTAGGGAGCTGCTTGAAATAACCACAATTTACTCTGTCTTTATTCCTTTTTTTTCAATTCCTTTTCCCTGACAATAAAAAAATAGTGATTCATAGCCGTTTCAAAGATGGTAGGTAGTACCAAAAATATAAAGAAGAGAAAAGTCATCCATAGTCCTACATACGGAAGCAATCCCCATGAAGATTGTGGAATCTCTCCCTTTGGTTTCTTTTCTGTGCTATTTTCACGTGGCTGGGGGCACTCGATCTGGGCCATATGATCTTGATTTCTTTTGCTTAACCTTCTAACGTAAACATTTCTCACATTTTAAAGAACTCTATAATATCTCATTTTGCCATAATTTACTTAAATTAGATTCACTTTAGGCATTTGGGGTGTTGGCAGTTTTCTGTTTTTATAAATAATAATGCTGTTATAAATAAGAATGTGTTTATAAATAACAATGCTGTTATGAACAGAAACATTTATAATAATAATAATAAATAACTTTTTTTTTGCCAGTACTGCAGCTAATTTTATTAAGACTACTTAGCCCTGTAATAGCAAGGCTGTTGGTACATATTGCCAGACGTTTTCTAGAAGGGTTGTGTGAATTTTCAGTGCTACCTGCAGCATGTGAGAATGTCTCTTTCACTCAGCTCTAAAGAGGGATATTCACCTTAAAATTATTTTGTTCTTAGAAGAAACACATGTTATCTTAATGTCCTTAAAAATTGTTAGTAATATTGATTACTATACTTAACTGTTTTGTGTATTTTCTATTCAAGTATTGTGTTCTTTTTTTTCTGTGAGGTGACAGTATTTTTATTTTTAAGATTTGATTTTTATGATTAGGCTTTTTATCTGGTGTCATGTAACAGTCTATTTCCTCACCACCATTTCCCTTTAATTTTGGATTAAATAATTAATTTGGATTAAATAAGTAATTTTGTTTTGGATTTCTCTCTCTCATCAGTTTACCTAAATTCTTCTGGAATCTGTAGGATTATGTTCTTCAAGCTTCTAGAAGTTTCTTGTGCTGATTTTCAGAGTTTGGCAGTTTCTTAGCCATGTTTAATTACCTTTCTTGTTGGCACTTCCTCTTCAGCCGTTACATTCCCAAGGTGAAGAAGCCAGGCTTCTCAGCTGGTTTTTGTGAAGAGTGCCTTGACCTCTAATTCTGTCTGTAGAGAATAGAAATGCATGAGATAGCTCCTGTGATTTGTAGGGCTGGATCTCAGAATTAAGCTGCAGATATGCTGAACATATTCAGGTGCATTTTAAGCTTGTGAGCATAGGAAGTAAATTTAGAAATGAGGGGTTAGTTGGTTTTTTTCTCCATCTTTATGCCAGATAGTGGTGTTTACCCCTGAGCTGGGTCTGAGGATTGCCAGCATGATCCAGCGTGATCATGCTGTTGACTCCGTTCATTGCTTCCACCTCTCTGTGCTCCGGGGAAATGAGGACAGGCTGAGAATTAGACTGGGATTTAAATCCCAGGGTTACAACTTGCTTAATAACCTCGGACAAATCACATAGGCCCGTCTAGGCCTTTGTTTCCTTATCTGTGAGGTGGGGAGTGATAGTCCTTACCTCTTAGTATGGATGTGAAGATTAAATGGGACCTCACTAGCTTGGGGTATGAGTTTGACTTTAAAAATGTTGTAATCAATCACTTGAATCCCTCCACGTCAGTAAGTGTATGATCCCCTATTTAAAATCTCCTTTACAGTTGACCAAGAACTCCAGGGGCTTACTCTTCCAAAGGAGCCTCCTCCTCGACTCCAGATGGAGAGAAACTCAGAAAAGCCTGACCAGGCCACTGGTAGGTCCTGGTTTTCAGCTGCTGTTGTTTTGTGGGGACCTTTTGAATAAATTGGTTCTACCCAGTCCACTGGGTCCTTACCCACTGCCGCTGGGCCCCTTCTGGTCCAGATCCGTGCACACAAAGCGGTGGTGCCAAGCTTGGCCTCTCAAGGTTACTTCTCTTCAGGTTACGTCCACCTACTCAGGCACTGTGCTGTATCACTCTGTGCCAAGACAGCTGGTCCCAGAGGTACTTGTCACTAGTCCAGACACCCCTTCCTTTCATGATATGTAATTAGACTTTAGCATCTTTTCCTACCCAGTGGACCTCAGTTGGAATCATCCTAGGAATTCATTTGAGAAATTCTGATAACGCTGAATTTTAAAAGGCAAGTGGCCAAGGTCACCTTCCCCTTTGGAGACTCCTTAAATTCACTGTGCAAATTTAGCCCCCTCCTCCCAGCTATCAGGGCTGAGTACCAGACAAGTCACCAAAGTTCCTACCACATCCTCCTCTATCAGGAATGGAATATTAAACTTAAATTTGTACAACTAAGAAGGGCCATTCAGGTGATTCTTTCGAGAACAAAGAAGGTCTCCCAAGGGACTTTTTGGCATTCTCCAGACAGAAAATAATCTGATACCTTCTTTCTAAATAAGTTTAAAAAAAAAAAAAGTTCTGCTTCACCAGATACAGCCACATATGTGTAAAACACCTAGCATGCTTCTGTCACTTAGTAGGTGCTCAGAAAATGTTAGTTGTCTCCTTCCTCCGTTCCTCCTCAGCTCAACCACACCTCTGCATCATTCAGCTGGGGACATGTAGCCTTCCAGAGACCTAACCCACTTCTCAGTGTCCATTTCTCTGCTTGCCTCTGCATAAACACAGTACAGAGGGTTCTGGGTTGCCTCCTGACAGGCTCACCAAGGGTAGTGTAAATGTTCACTTGTTCTTAGGTATAAAACAAGAGTTGGGGGCAGCAGGTCCTCATAATGACCTCTGATGGCCTCCAGCAACGTTTCACTTTCAGAACTGCTTTTGGGGGTGGGGGGTTTGCCTGAGGCAGTTCATACTTCCTGCAAATAGTTAGATTTCATTTTGCATATGTATTCAGCTTGTTTTTTATACAGCGAACATGGCCAGAGCATTTTGTCATGGAAAATAATTTGCTAATCCAAAACTAAACAATGCGTAGCTGTTGTCCCTCTTAAGACAGGTGGAGCTTAATAAAGTGTGCCTCGTCCCAACCTTTGTCCCACAAATAAACTTCCTGCTTTCTGTGAGGAGGGGTGTGGCATCTGCTTTTTTGGAGCTTTAGTTTCAGGGAACCATATTTTCCTTGCCTGGTTTTGCCAACAAAACATGTGTCTGTGTAGTTAAGGCACATAGAGGCGCCCCAGGCCATTGCAGTCAGAGGCTGACCTCAGACTGTCTTCAGACTTCAGACAAGCTTTTTACTGTGTTTCACTGCCGAATTCCCAGACCTCACCACGAGACCCAGGGGTGTGACATCTCAAAGCTGACTCTATTCTCCAAAAGAAAGGGACAGCTTCATTGAATTATTTTGGGTTCAGAAATGAGTTTCCACATGTTTCATGAGACAAATCAAGTGTTTAATATATTACTCTTACAGGTGTTTAATTATTGGCTTTAGACACAAATTCTCATAGAAATAGAAGAAAAAGGTGAGACTAATTTCAAAGCTCTCCTTGAAATTATCCCTAGTTCTTCCTGACATTTCCTTACCTGGCGTTCTTTTGCTTTAGTATCTTCACAGGAATGTTTTACTAACACCATGAGGTGTGGCTTTGGCTTAGCTGCCTTTGTTTTTTCCAGAGTTAGCCTTTTCTCTCTGCAAAACATTGTATCCTGGTGCTTTGAAATTCCCATTGAGTTCGGAGAAATTATGTCTTGGCAGCCAACTTGCTTTCCTGGAACACAATGTGTTGCTGATGACACACCAGTTGCTCCACTTGACAGTGGGTTTTCTTGTTTGTTTCACTTGAGTGTTCAGTGGTGAGTAAGAACTGAAGTGGAAAGCCGTACTTACCACAGTTTATTAGATGGTTCATGCCCACGGTAATTACTTTCATAATGCCACTTATGAATAGATGGATCAGATTAGGGTGAATCACCTGGCCAGCCAGCAGCTCCTGGAATGATTCTCCACGCGTGGTTTTGTTGCGTGGCTACAGAATGTGGCAGGATGGAGCTGCCCGGCTATCACGGCAGAGGCTCATTTGTAACGCTGCCTTAAGGAGATAAGGAGATGAGACCAAACTGTTCCAGCAGCTCAGCCTGCCCTGCCAACAGTTCGGAGGAGGAGTTGCCGGTGGGGCTGGAGGCGTATGGAAACCTGGAACTTGTGTTCACAGTGGTGCTGGCCGTGATGATGGGCCTGCTCATGTTCTCCCTGGGATGCTCCGTGGAGATCCGGAAGCTCTGGTTGCACATCAGGAGACCCTGGGGCATTGCTGTGGGACTGCTCTGCCAGTTTGGGCTCATGCCTCTTACAGCCTATCTCCTGGTCGTCAGCTTTTCTCTGAAGCCGGCCCAAGCGATTGCCATCCTCATCATGGGCTGCTGCCCAGGGGGGACCATCTCAAACATTTTCACCTTCTGGGTTGATGGAGATATGGATCTCAGGTGAGTTACACTAGGGGAGCTCAGCTGCCTTCCCGTGGTAGCGCTCTGCCTGGGAGGATAACTGATACTTTTGTGTCCATCTAGGTGGAGATTCCAGTGAGAAACATCTTATAGAGGCTTGTTCAGTCTTGGCAGCGTTTCCTGGCTGAGCTTAAAATTTACTTTGCTGTCATTGTCCTCTGTTTCACTGGCAGCTCCTTTTCTGAGTTGAGGGGTTTGGTTCATTTGCAGCAGTGAAGGCAGGTCTCCTCCTCATCCAATGGCCCTTCCTAGGTGTGAACTCATTGTCACCCACACTGACAGCGTTCACAACAGTCCTGGTTTCACAGTCTCCCAGGATGGAGGTTCAGAATCCCAGAAAGAGAAGGACAGTGGTTGGCAGCCATGTGGTGGTGGGGGTGGTGGGGGGCATAACCAATGAGGCCCTCGAAGCTCTAACCAGCAAGTGCTGCCCGAGGCCCTAGTTTATGAAATCAGTATTTTGGGGAACTGGATAAAGGAGCCTTCGGGGGATGCAATGAATGTCTCCTATTTTAAGTGGCCTATTGAGTTGACTTGGGGAATGACATAAAGACTATGACTAAAATTGTTTCTTGTTGCCTTGCAGATGTTTAACATTCATTACTAGAATCTTGTTTCTTTCACTTAAGCCAGTGACCTTATTCCCAGTTATGGTGTAGATAAATACCCCTGGGAGACTTTAGGCTTTATCATTCATTTACATTTTAATGAGAGTGAATGCTTCAATGGGGGAGAAAGCATTTGAGGAAAGAATAGAGGAGTCACAATTGGAAAAATGAAAGGGCTAAAAACACAGTGGTCTTTCTAGAGTCTTTGCTTACTTATGACCAAACTGTTTCACCTTTTGCCCAGGGAAGGAACTACTTATAAATTTAATTCTTTGTTCGACGTGTATGTCATTTTGGTGAGATTTATTGTACAATGAATGAATGACTCAGAGGTGCTGACTGTGCTGGGAGTTGACATTTGTGACTCAGCTACAGGTATGGGTTTCTAGTTTCCTGCATGCGCTGAATGTGTAGCATATGGAACTTATTTCACCTATAAATTTTAATGGGTTCGTGCCAAGCAGACCAATAATTAATTTTCATGTGGCTATGATTTTAGTTCCCCACTTATCAAAGATTTGAAATGAATGACTTGCATTGCTAATTCAAAAAACCCCACGAATAGGTATTGCTGTTTCAAATTCAGTAAAGTTGATCACTAATGTAATAATTGGGAAATGATAAATATTCTTTACACAAAGTCCATGGAACAGTGATAAATTCCAGGACCTGAAGGCTTTTGGAAAGAAAAGGAAATATGGATATTAAATACCCCAACAGGCATGGGGTCGATGCTTTCATGTATTCTCATTCTCTTCTTTCTTGGCTCTCATAATAACCTTGTAAATGACGTTTTATTATCCTGAACTTTACAGCTGAGAAAAGTTCGACTCAGATTGGCTAAGTAGGTTGCCAAATGCTACAGATGAGTATGGCAGAACGCACATTTAAAGTCACATCTGTTTCTCATCATTTGCAATTTAGGCACTTTCTTCAATGCCATTTATTAACACAACTGGATCTTCTGTTCTGAGTAGGAGCATAAATCTTTAAACAGTGTTCTCCAGCACTTCTGTTTTGGGAAAGAGAACATTTATTATCTTCATCTCTTACTGGCCAACATTATAGTAAAAATAGCAATTAATAGGAAGTCTATAAAAGATTAAGTTCATTTTACTTCTCTTAATATGCTTTTAACTTTGGTCAAATTATTTAACCTATAAACCTCATCTCCTCATTTGTAAAACAGGATTAAAATTACCTATTACCCACAAGACTGTATTTTAAAGGAAGAATATATGTGCAGAATAGCAGGCACATAGTAGGTACCCAATAGATATTAGCTATCGTCCCCTTTCTCTTATAAAATTTTGATTTTGAACCTCAGAAAATAAAAACAAAAACCAAGCAAAAAATTAAATTCTAAGAAATGCAATTTAAAAATGAGGACTAAATATTCGATTTTCAAAAGCTCATAGAGACAAGAGTAATAGATCTTAAATCTCAGTAAAAATTACAAATAGGAGGAAACTGAATATTATTGAGTGAAACAATATCCAAGTTCATTATGTTTTTCTCACTTGATTACCAACAAAAATAACTTTCAAGCAAAGCTCAGTAGATAGTCATTGGTAGGAATTCTGTTTTTCATGCTGGATAAGATCCAGGAGGATTTAGTACAACATCTTCATTTTACAAACGAGGAAATTTAGACTGAGAGCTCTTCAGACGACCCCAAATGTGTTTCATGCCTTAACTCCGTGCTTCATTCAGTTTACTTGTAGTTCTCCGTGTACTCACACAAAGAAAGCATTTTCGGAGTCTGCACGTGTGAACTAGTTCGTGCACTCTGTGTGTCCGACGCTGGCACCAGTCATCCTCCCACCAGTCACCAGGGCTCACCATCCCAGCAGCCCGCGTGCCTCCTGTCAGGCTTCATGTCACCATAGCTGTTGCTTCCTATCTCTCCACTGCCATCACCTCAGCTCAAGCCCCACCATTTCTTTCTTGTCCAGTTGTGGTATCTTCACAGTGTTCTCTCTACCTTCAGTCTTTCCGTT